TTTGATTCCCTCGCCCTCCACGAGAACAATGGATGCTCGACCAATCATTGTCAGTTGGGTACCTTCAGAACTGATTCTTCACGTGCCTTCCAGAATTCAGTTAGGCCTATATGTTATTGTAGGATGTTCTTTGTGTTGATTGTGGTATACTCTTCCATGTGAGAATTGATGTTCACCTCTAAACAGAATAATTGATACATTTTTCACCAAAACTAGTTCGACTATGAAACAGCAAAGTTCTGGAATTCTTTGCTGAAAAAAATATGCACAAAGATGTGGATCTCCAGAAGTTTAGAATATTCCAGAATCTCCCTTTGTTTTTCATATATTCTCCCTAGTTACGTACAATTTTCGTCGAATATGATTGAATTTCTTCTTCATGCGCTCTAGAAGATGATGAGGAGAAAACAATCATGGATAAAATATATTGAGAGCTGATGATTGCTGAATCAGCCGCTTATATATTTCTTCACTTGATTATAGGGCTGATTGCAGTAGGCATCTGACATACGATTGATTATTGTCAATTAGGGCAAATGCCTATGGAAATACATCACTCCAACTCTCGTTTATTTCAAGATATTTGATCATAAATCAACTTTACCATATTGCAACATCCAGTACAGTGTAGTTTCGTTCAGGTCAGCTAAGTTCGTAGACTTTTCCATTTCTTTGTAAATTTGCCAAGTGCTTACCTGCGGAACTTCTTTTGTGATAAAGATCGCCAGATATATAGAGACTTTTTTCATTCCGGAATAGCGCAAACCAAGCATTTAGTTCCGATATGTATAGAAAAGTAATTCTGGAATCAAGGGATTCATCAATCATCCTTGAATTTTGTCATTGTTAGATCATTATTAGTTCATCGATAGCTGATTTCCAAATTGACACTCTGCCAATTCGGTGGAGTGACATATCTACTTTGATTCTGCTGCCCAATACATGATGTAAGTACCAGTGAAATTATCATCTTGTTTCTGTTGTTTACTTGTTTCATGGTTGATTCTGCTGTTCCGCCTTTGTGGCACATTTTTATGTTTTCCCGATTGAATGAATGTTGGATCCAGTCTTGAAAATAAAATATCTCTATTTTGGAATGAACATGGATGAGTGATGAAATACTGGGAATCAACTCGCAAAATAGCTGAAAGAGTACTCTTGAGTTGACACCTGGGGAAAAGGCAACGTCTGAGTTGCGACATGTGGTGGATGCCCATCTGAGTTGCGCCACATCGTGGAGGCGCCGTTTGTTGACATTAATGTCACATAACTACTAGAACCATCTGAGTTGCAACTATATCTTATTTTTTATAGCATCGAATTCCTTGCTCAATAGTAAACAGACAGTTTCATACAACTGACACTTAATAATTGATAAAAATTTCCTAGTTGTTCTCAATGGCCATAATATGATGAATATTATGAAATGTCGAAGCTGTCGAACATGGGGAATTGGCTTTCGATCGCATTCGCTAGAATTCAAATATGTTGTTGTTGGCAGAGTTTTGTTTGCTTGGCTTTCGAGATATGAGCCTACAGGTTCATTAAAATGTTGTAGCAAGGTAGGATTGGCATAGAAAAAAACGATAGTTGTTTCACTATACATGAAAAAAAGTAATCTAGAAGATCTATTGATCAGAACTCATGAATTTGTCTTGAATCATAGGAAATCAGAGTGTGATCTTCCGAGGAAAAAAAAAATCAAGCATTATTCCAAAATCAACAAGTTTCAGTATATATTGTGGGCTTCAAGAACGTATTTGCAGTTTCGTTTGTTGGCAAGAAGAAACAAATATGTGGATTCATTTTCGGATAGAATGTATGTGGCCAACAAAAAAACTATACATGGAATAATTATTGTTGAATAGTAGAATAAAACATTCGATTTTCATTTGTAAAATCAAAACACTAAAGTAAACATGAGACTATTTCAGCTTCAGATAAAGTTGAATAAGTTCAGGGTAGTCAGGTTATCAGATTAAATCTTATTATTTTTATTCACGGGTTGGCATTCAGGTGGAAAATATACGTCGTGAATAACCCGTGCAAATATAATAACATTTTTATTTCATGCGGCATGGGCTGAAAAGTTCGCACCACAGGAAGGAAATTCCGAGTAATAAAACTGAATAATTCAACACATTTCGTGTTCCTAAGGTTTGTACGAATGTGAATTCTCATAGATTCTGTTGAAGTTTTCCATCGAATCGCTCTTCTCAATACTGGTAAGTCTAGATTGTATGTGATAACATCACTGGAATCTTGAATCATCTTGTTCCAATATTATCCGCAAATTTTTGGATAGAGCATGTGATAGTATCAACATTTATTGATCCAGGTGAAGATCAATGTATATAGGTGTCAGGATGTATCTTTTCAATAAATTAGCAGTCTATATTCAAGAATTCATTATTATATTATATTAGTACTTCTCCGCACTTATTTGCGTGCGCAAAGTAATACTTTTCGCACTCAGTGCGGATATGGGTGTTATACGCACGGCGTGCGAATAAGTGGAACTACCCAAAAATCTCATTGGTATGGAACATTTATATTCATTTTAGTTGCTGTAGACTATTGTATGCACTATGAGAAGCCGTTATTCCTTTCACTTTTCAACCGTTCTTCCCGATATTCGTATTTCACCTCGATATAAAGATTAGGAACAAATGATTTAATTTTCTATCATTATATTTCATTGATATGTATCTGTTTGTTGTTTAGCTATTTCTATCAAGTTTTACTAAAAATTATTCAATAAATTGTAATTGAAGTTACATTTTTTTATTTTCGTTGTTATCTGATATAAAGCTCGTGGGGAAAATGTGATTTTCTATTATTATATTTTATTGTTATATGTGATTGTTGTATAGTTGCATTGGGAAACGTATAATTTCATAATTTTCTCTTATTTTCCTTTTTATCTCATATGAAGCTCGTAGGGAAAACATTGCTCCTAACACGTGTGCAAAGTGTATTTTCCGCACGCAATAACTGTATTTGTGTGCAAAAATGTTACACTCCGCGCACTTGTTAGGAAAATAACTATATGGTGAATATATAACATGAACTGTGGAGTTCACAAACCAATCTGCAATTGCTAGTGAAATGATCAAAATGTCGATATCATTGTATTTTTCTCATACAAGCGTATGCGGAAGGGTTACTCCTTCACACGATTTTTCGTCTTGAAAGTTGTACTTTTCCAGATGAAATTTTCGACACGATTTCTACATTTCCACACGTTCTTCACTTCTTCGCACTATGAATCGATAAAATGAATGGAACAAACAGAGTAACAGAAAAAATTGATATGATTTGATCGAGTCACCGAAGTCTGTTGAGGGTTTCTGGGGTCGTTTTTTTTCCTTTCGCTGCACTAGTTGCCAACTTCCGTATACAGGTGAAAATCATTCAAGACTATGTGATTTTTTTCATGATTCCAGAGATTTTTTAATGAAAATGGACCAAAAAGACCTAATGAAGACGTATTAAAGACGCACATTTCTCTGGAAAACGCCTGCTGGACCTGAAATTAACGTCCCAATGTTCTTTGACTGATTAGATAATTGGCGACACTATCAAAATACATCAGGTTAACTGACTATTCATCGAATATACAAAGGGAACAACTTGAAGGCCATAGCAATCACAGAACTCTGTAGCCTAAGGCTATCAAGATAAATCAATAAAATGGTGTGAAAAAGGTACTTCACCGTACTTGTGCTGGGAGGTCAATTTTCCGCACGATTATGAAAAAGGACAAAAACACCCGTAGAAAAAACGTTGTGCCTAACTTTTGGGAAGAATTCTCTTTCCACCTTGCCGTCGCTTGCGGAAAAATACTACTTTCTGCATTTGTAATGTGGATGATGATTGTATCGTAGTATCTCACTATTGATTAGGCACATTATGACCATACTTCGCCAATGAAGCCACTATTCGTAGAGCTGCCATGCTCTCGAGGGTGGCATATTATGGTATTTTGCCCTTTCAGTATTTTTCCATCAACGTATCGATACCATTCTACTCCGAGTCGTTCGTGCTGCTACCGTCACGTGCAGAAAAGCATTACTCTCCGCACTTGTTTGGTGAATTACTATTATATCACAGTATCTCACTAGTAGTAGGCACATTATGATCATGCTCCGCTAATGAAGCCTTTTCAGTATTTTTGCATCAACGTATCGATATCATTCTTGTACTTTTTCTACTTTAAAATCACTACTTAGTAGGTATATAACCGATTCATGTGTCACCAAAGGCGCGTTGAAAGCGGTAAATGAGGTCTATAATTATTTCTAGACGCAATCTGGTGAGGTAAAGATTATCTTCAACTTCTAAGATTGAGCCCCTGAACAGCTTACCTTAACTTCTTGCGAGAGCAGGGAGCCTCCATTGAATCGCCACCAGGTCATCTGGTGGCGATTCAATGGAGGCTCCCTGCTGAACCAGGTCGGTGGCGTGAGTTAATTCAATTCAGAAGGCACTCACATATAGACAAAAACTCCAAATATGGGGAACCCGCTCCCTTTTTCATGTTACAATGAGAACAGAAAATTCGTCGCTAGAATCACTATCGACATATAGCGTAGAGTAAACACTCCCGAGCTGAGATCTAGCGAGACCAGTTTTTCGTTGATCCCGCTTTGCTCGGCAAAGTATTTCAGACCCCGATCAGGATACAAAAACGTCGATGTTCATCACTGATCTCGAGCTGTTTAGGGTGATGCCAGAAAAACGCATTTATTTTCAACGGAATGGAACGGTATTGCATCTAGGATGATTTTATGTTGGGGAAATTCCACTACGTAAATGAAGATAAAAGTTTCCTCAAGAATTAATTGATTTTTTCAAATGGAAACTTAACAAGCCCGATCTTTTATTTCTCCATCGTTGAATCTCGTGTCAATCAACCTGTAGTCAGTTCATACCCGTGGAAACTATGATTGGTCGAGTACTCTGGGAACATAGTGAACATAGATGTGACGATAACTCACCGTTTAGAACATGTACGATGAGCGTCTTGGGATTGGCGTTCGAAGGGTTGCATGTATATTTCCCAGAATCCGAATCCTTCGCCCTCTGGACCAGCAAATAGCTGACGGTGTTGTCGCCCTTTTCGGTGATGACGCTAACGCCTCCTCTTGGCGAGTCGTAGTTGATTTCCTGCAAAGAAAAAGGATGCTGAAGGGACAGTAAAGCAACTCGTGGATATTATCCTCAAGCGATAAACATCGTTCTAAAAGGAAAAGGATTGACGAAGCGATTCTGGCGAATACAAATGAAAATTCGATATTTTTTCAATAATAGACTCCTTCTTCATTTTTCAAAAATTTTTCAGCCACAGACTAACGATCGAAATCATCTCATGATCGAATCTCAAAACGCAGTTGCATTTCAGGAAAAGTTATTCGATTTGTTTACACCACACGAATCGAGTCGATTCAGTTCTGACCGCAAGATGACACTGTTTGAGAAACCAAAAATTTTTCATTTCCCTCAACTAATCCGAAATGTAACAATGCAGGGTTTATATCTCTATGACTAAGCGCGATCGATTCATTGATTTTTATTTTTTATTGCTTGGAGCGCACGAAAGGAAATCCCTATAATGTTCAAAGAACATCGTGCGTTCCTAGGGAGGATAAGGACAGGAATTGGAATTTTTTGAACTTCTGGAGATTATAATATGTTGTTGGGAATACTTCCTCAGACAATGAATCCGAGCCTAACCGTTCTATGGATGAAGGAGATTTGATAAAGTGCTGTTCGACATCTTCAGAAGTTGACAACGAAGGGATGTGCTGACTGGGCTTGTCTAGTTCGTCTGACTGGTATTGCTAGTGGAGGGATGATAGCAGAGATTTCCGAAGAACACTTCCCGTGATATTGTTGATAAAAAAGTGAAAGGTCGCCGATTTCTCTACGGTGTTCCAATGATGTCAAAGAGTGAGTGAGTGTGACGTCACCCACCAGGCGAAGTAGCACAACTCGTAGGGACGGTGAAGCAGAGATGGGCTTCCGTTTACTTCGAAAGTGACATCATCTTATTCTTCTTCAATAGGACTCTCTTTTTCTCATAATATTCTTGAATTCTCCGTATAATGGCGCGGTGTCTGAGTTGCTGGAGCTCTTACATTCGCTAGATAGCCGTTCACGTTGAGCATAGGAGCTGTAGGTTCCAATCTGGCACGACTAAGCATTTTTCTTGAATAGTCATGTTTCTTGTTGGTAATCCTTGCAGCACCTCAGCCCTCAAGCAGGGATTGAAAATTCACTATGAGCTGTAGATACTGCTCTTTTCCTAACTCCGCACGAGTTCCGACTCCCGAGGGATTGATCCCAACTTCGGAGTAGAAATAAAAAATATGCCATTTGATGCAAATTCATACATGATATTCCAATTTTTTCCAGGAAACGCTGCCTATCGAATATACGTAATTTTTAATTTATATATGTATAGCATTTCTTAGCGACATGCCCTGAATGAATCATGAATATAGACATATTTTCCCGTCGTTTCTACTGTCATCAGAACGTCATCTGATGAATTCGGCACCCGTGACTACCTGCTACTTCACTTATGTATAAATCCAAATAATTGTTCGATGGGACATGAAATAATTCATACAGTGGTATTTTCCTAGGAATAATTTGGGAATGAAAATTTCATCATCTCTCTTTTCATCAGTGTTATGAATTATAAGTCCTTTCATTGAAAATATATATGATGGCAGAATGCAACAATGAACTGAATTAGAAGAGAAGCTATGGGGTTCAAAGTATTGCCATACACGAATCCTGCATGATTATTTAGAATGAATCAAGTGACACATTATGAACGCATGTGCATTGGCTTGCAGAAACACTGAGGATTATTCCAGACCAACTCCGGCTTTTGGAGAAAAGGGCCAACATCCCTGAAAGATTGATTTGTAACGCCTGAATCTTGCTAAATCAGTACACCAGTGATCACATTGAGCTGACATCAAGCTATCAATGACTATTAGTGATTAGTGGACCAGAGTAAAACTCCCTGACCATACGCAGCCTACAATTTCATTGCGAAAAATTATCTGAAATATACAGGAATCCCAAAAATAGTTGTTCAATATATAATATTGAGAAAATTATTTATTATTTATTGTCTATTCTGAGTAACCCCCCTCTTGCTCTGTAAAGAACAACCCCACTAACTTCTGCAAACTTTGCAATTGCATTACTGAAGCGTTATGACAATCGACGATTTATTGCGTTTGCTGATTACCGTGAAATGGATGGTGCTCAGAAATTGCCAGAGAATCAGGTTAATTCAAAGAATCTGAGACAACTCCTAGATACTGTAGCATTTGAAATTGCTACAAAATAATTTTTAGTATCGTTTGCATGAAAATTCAAGCGAATTTGCTTTAGTGCAACATTTGAAGTTGCAAAGAATCATTTTCATTTTTTTGTTTCATACATTACCATTTTGTAAATATTAACCTTTCAGATCTAGACAAGAAGTCATACTTACAGAGAACATTCAGTCTGATACTTGGTAAATAATCCTGAAGTACTTGAATGTAACTTTTACTGATCAATTATCATTGTTATACTTATAAAAATCACTGTTGCTCTTTTATCTTACTGAAATTTGTTAATCAATTCAATTTGAATTTATAACTGTTGTCTTTTCCATTTCAATTTCTTCTCATATATAAAATCATGTTTGATTTTTATTGTAGATACACTTTGCTATTTTGACTGAAGATGATCATTTGAATGGCTGAAACATGTCTCAACTTCCAACCTTATTGAAGCAGGATTGACTGCCTTATTATATTAAAAATTGTGGAGACGACTTTGAGTTTTTCTCCCTTAATTATTTCTTTTCACTTTGAGGAAACATGGACTCCTACCAGGAATCACTAATGATAGTTCATTTCCACTACTCTACAGAGCCGACAGCACATTGGAAACAACATTGCAGAAAATGCGAATACATGAGCAGATATATTCGCAGCAAACGATACCCTAGATTCCTAGGAAAAAGTGACCAAATACATTCCACTGGTTGAAAATCAGAAGACCATGATCGTTTCTAGTCATCACACTGTCAGACGCATTCTGCTTGGTCTCAAAACAAATATGGCCAACAGTCCTGATGACATTTCAAACATTATTCACAAACAGTGTGCATCTGAAATGACACCGATTCTTTGCAATTTTGTATCTATCTCGTACAACATGATTATATTTCCATTTTGCTTAGAAATAGCTATAGCCCAGCTAATTCACAGGAGACTAAATAAAAGCCTGCAAAACAGCTATATGTTCATGGCTCTGTTATCATTCATCTTCATTTCAATGAGTAAGAGCTTATCGAAAATCTGAAGAGCTCAGGAATCATTAATTATAGACAATATGATTTTCGCCACCAGAGGTCAACTGAAGATTAACTTGAATACGTCAAACATATATTGCAAGCTCCATTGGAAGAACTTAAGTAATATCTAGCTGTGGCGTTGGATATATCGTAGGCATTCTACAAAGTTTGGCACCAAGTACACTTCAACAAACTACCGTCATACGGCTCACGATCTCAGCTATGCTATCTCTCATCAAGTTTTTTTTCTGGCGAATCGCTTCATGAGGTCATTGACGAATTATCGTCTGATACTATTGCCATCAATTCTACAAGGATCAATTATGGCACGAACATTGTTCCTTCTCCACATCGATGATCTTCTGGGTGTAATCACTCGTGCTATTTCGAGCTCCGCAGATGATGGTACTTTCCATACTGCGCCTTCTTCTAGAATTCAACTTTTTGCTAGGAAGCTGAGATTTGATAACGAAGACAGGTCAACGCTGTCAATGGAGATGTTGCTGGAATCACAGCCTGGGAAAGCAGCAACCTAAATAAATCTATGCTCGGTTTTACTACCGGCAAAATTCTTTTATGAGAAACTCATGTTCGATCCATTGCCGGAGTTGCTTCACAAAACCTCGGATTCTTATTTTGTGCCACAACAGCTTTGCACCTCAACAGCCGCTCATTATCAAAAAAGCACAGATACGCCTTGTTCTTGAATATTTTTTTCACGTATAAGGTTCAGAACTAAAAAATATACTGATCTCCAGAGGAGAGCTATTTGCCTGGTGAGCTATGGCACACTGATCAATTCTCTGACCTCCTCAGAACACCGTGAGGAAGTCGACAAGGTCTTAGACTTCCATAGATTCACCTACGAAATATGTTTTTATGAATCTCTGCTCCATCACTAGCAATACCAGGCAGAACATATGGACAAGTGCAGTAAGCCTCTCATTTTGTTTTCTTTTTTGAAATATGATGAGCAACATTTTTCCAAATTCCGTTTGCCTACAGAACGGCAAAGCTCTGTGATTCTTTGCTGATCGGGGTATTCCCTAGAACTTATAACCTCCAGGAGGTTGAAGAATGGCAATACCTTACTTATTTTTCTTTTTTCCCTAGGTTGGCATAGTGTTCTTCGAACATTATTAGGATTGCATTTCGTGCGCTTCAAGATATAAATAGGATAATTATATTGTGTATTATTCATTTCATGATTATTGTTTACTATCCTCAGTTTTTTTTTCCACAATCCGAAATGGAAATGTTCAGTCATACAAATCATTTGAGACAAGTGCGTTCCTTATCCCATCCTGTAATATATCAAGTAGTTTATTTTCAGACCTGAAATGGGTGAGTGGATCTTCTCGGATATTCATCATGATTGTGGTTACCCCTGTTGCTTGAATGCCTGTGGCTGATCAATAAGGAAATGACAAAATGTCTGAATATGCGTTGCCACAACTCAACAACTACGGTATTCGTAATACTCCTATGGAAATTTTCACTTCATTCTGATGAGGTATACACGTCGTTGATAATGAAACCATAATTAATTGAACATAACAGGGGAGTGAATCACTTTCAAAGCGACCCTCTTCCTCCCTGCTGGTCAATGAACAGTTCGTCGTGTGCACATTGATTCGACAACAAAGGAATTTCGATGGCGACGTGATAGATGAAGCAGAACATGTATAGTCGATCTATAATTAATTAGCGGACAATCATGTCGAATGCTATACATTCTTCATGCTCTCAAAGGATTCAGGATACAAATGAGAACAATTTTTCGGACTGCAGATAAATTTTACTCAGTATTGCCTCCGTCCACGAAGATCGGCAGCATTCTTCTACTGTCAGGAATTAGAAAGTGAATCAGACTCTTACATAATGGAAAATGTAGTGCCTTCAGTTCTACTCTGAGCATAATTCCATCTGCTATCGCAATAAATAGACTAACTTGTGGATAACCTCAATCCAGCTGTTGAAAGATGTATTTATGTTGATGATCTAAAAATTTCCTACTACGCACCACCAATTGCTCAGTGGGACGGTAACGATAAAGACCCTCTTGTGTAAAAAATTTAACTATTTGCATATGATATTTGGGTACTCTGAATCTGAAGCGAAATTTTTGCACTTCTGTCAGTTTTTTGCCCGAAACTCGGAAACAATACGTTTCAGTGAAATGACCATGCTATACGAAGTCGAACTAGATAAAATGGTATCGATAACAATTTTTCTCACTTACATAAGTAACTCACTTTATGATGAAATATCACCGGATTCTCCCCATCAAATTTCATCACTCTGATATCATTCATTCTGACTAAATCATTGTTCTCATTTTCTGAGAAATTATTCCCGAGTTTGTTCGCCAAAATCTTGAGGTCAAAGCGAGACATGACTCGTTCACTATGTAGGGCCTTTTCCTTCTCCTTGCTCCTCATATGATGGAAACATATTGTTCTCGTACATAATATGGGTCCTGCTCTGCCTCTTCGATGACAAAATGACGGTTATCAGATCTATTCTGAATGTCATCAAATAAGGGAGCAGGAGCAGGAGCAGGAGCAGGAGCAGGAGCAGGAGCAGGAGCAGGAGCAGGAGCAGGAGCAGGAGCAGGAGCAGGAGCAGGAGCAGGAGCAGGAGCAGGAGCAGGAGCAGGAGCAGGAGCAGGAGCAGGAGCAGGAGCAGGAGCAGGAGCAGGAGCAGGAGCAGGAGCAGGAGCAGGAGCAGGAGCAGGAGCAGGAGCAGGAGCAGGAGCAGGAGCAGGAGCAGGAGCAGGAGCAGGAGCAGGAGCAGGAGCAGGAGCAGGAGCAGGAGCAGGAGCAGGAGCAGGAGCAGGAGCAGGAGCAGGAGCAGGAGCAGGAGCAGGAGCAGGAGCAGGAGCAGGAGCAGGAGCAGGAGCAGGAGCAGGAGCAGGAGCAGGAGCAGGAGCAGGAGCAGGAGCAGGAGCAGGAGCAGGAGCAGGAGCAGGAGCAGGAGCAGGAGCAGGAGCAGGAGCAGGAGCAGGAGCAGGAGCAGGAGCAGGAGCAGGAGCAGGAGCAGGAGCAGGAGCAGGAGCAGGAGCGGGAGCAGGAGCAGGAGCAGGAGCAGGAGCAGGAGTTTGTATCTCATCTCCAAAATCATACCCTGAAAAACAAATTTAGTACGCCACTGGATTTTGCTCAGCATTATCTGTTGGATGTAAATTCTGGTACAACATCACTTCTAATGAATTTTGTAGATTTAGAATGGGTGCGAAGAGTATTCTTTTTTGAAATCGCTCTGTATCTCATGAGTTCAAACAGTTATGCAGAATGTTATTGATTCATTCTGAGTATTACAAAACATTTTTACAGAACTGCGAAGTTATATCTCCGAGAACAATCGAGTAACCTAGTAGCAGTCTCAACCCTTTACATCCACTTACTACTTCGAAATCTCTGAGAATGATGACCAACACATCCAACGATGGAATAATATAAATAATTGATTGTTTCAATGAGGATCAATGTTTGATTCCTATGAAACGCTAACGTAATGATAATCCAACGATAATGATTCCGCATTTCCCAAATAGAAATGAATGTTTAACTAACATTGGATGTTGCATTTAGAAGTTGTCAATATTTTGTGATGATAATTGTATTGATCATGAATGCAGAGGAGATTATTCATCGTTATGTTGTACTCGATTCAATTGGAATACTATTTGATTAATCCATGGATGGAAGATCAATGGGCGATATAGTGTTCACCAAATATCACCAGTTGATGAAATTAAAATGTATGAAGCACTCCTGAAATTGATTGAAATTTTCTGAATGAGCCTAAATCAGCATGGTTCTATAATTCTCATTGATTATTCCAGGATTTCACAGGATTTTCACCTGTGATATCAAGGAACATTGATGTGATGAATTTGGAGTTCTGCAAGGCATCTCACAAAATGACTGTCTCATTCGTTATCACAATGTCGCTCATTCTCAGATCCTTTGTGGAATCCAGATTGAATAATATAGCTTGCTTCGTTTGCAACATAATATTGCATTCAATGTGAAATAAATTCGTCCCTAAACTCTCTATCAATCATGCATATCTCATTTTTCTTCATCGTGACAGAAACTGATGAATCTACGTGAGATACTTAACTGAATTGTGAGAGATTGTTTCCTCTGGATTTCATTTTATCACCCACTGCCCAATCTCTGAAAAAACCCTGAGCTGAAACCATCTGAGAACCTGTCGTCAAGGCTTCACGTGCTTTTATTTTTCACGTTTTCACAAGACAGGTTTATAGATAACATAATTCATTTTGTTTTCTCAGAAAATCCTCGGTGAATCGTACGAAATCCAGATGAACCAGAGAACATTAAATAATTCGTAATATAGGTACGGAATAAAATCAGATCCCATCTTACGTTGTCCTTGAGATAAAAAGGAATAGTAACATTTTTAATATACAGGCTGATTTTAAAATGAGTGCATATATTCAAGACATATATATGAGAGAGCCTAACAAAAATTACTAAAATATTTGATTTTTCCTAAGTCTACACATTAACGAGAAATTTCATTTTGAAAATTGAACATAAAATGCTTCGAAATTCGAGTACGCCACTGATGAGCAAGTGAAATCTGCAGAATCCTAGGGAATCCACAATTCGTCATTCACTAAAGTCAAAACAAGCCAGTGATGTCAGATTGTTTCAGAGACGAATATCCTGATAAAAATTTGTCACAGAATGAACCTGAATTGAAATAGGTTATGGAAACTAATTGAGGTGAATGTAATATGTACAGGAGCCTTATTTTTCGAAGTTTACTGAGAGAACTGTGGGGTGATTATCTCCATGGATCACGAGAGACGGAGAGAAACATGAGGGGAATGATAGAACGTCCCCCTTCCTTCAATTCGAAAATAAGGCCCCAGCGGGTAGATACAAAATTAGCAGACAATAAATAGGTACACAACATACACAAAGTTGAAAATCGACTCACCTAGTAGATTTTCTCATACCTGCTCGAACAGCAAAACTCCCGAGAGCAAACAAATACTAATATCGAGTCCATTCCGGACTAATATCGTCCTGTGTTCTTGTTGGTTCATATTCGCACTTAAACCATCGAAAACGACTCGACGACGACATATCCTTCCTGGCAATCTCACATTGAAAATCACGACCACTACCATATCACGATTATCATGACACAACATCCAATTATTTTATTTTTTATTTTACGTGTTTACAATTATTTTTCAAACCAGCAACCACACAAACAAAACTAGTATCTAAGATTGATCTGTCAACATCATTTCTCAGAACAGTAGTATCTGTGCCCATAGATTTCCTCTTTGCTGTGACCTTTGACAGTACTAACTAGGATTGTTCGCGTTCAGAAAATAATCAATCCGAAACCGTCTGAAGAATGCACAAGTCCACAGAACCCAAAAAAATTATACAGTTCTGTGAAACTGCGCATGCTTCTGACCGTTTCGGACGCAAGAATTCAGATGATCATGAATTACTAATAGGCGATTTCTACGGACCAATCAGAAACAGCAAAGTAGCGCCTGCGTGGTTGCGATTCATCCTGATTAGACACAGCTGATTGGATTTGTGAGATTAGTGTATAGTGAGGAAGTATCATTTCATTGAATTAAACTAATTGATGTTTTTTCCAAATTAGTCTTTTATGAAAATTGTAGTTTCATTTAAAGGTATGATCCTTCCTCACTAATACATTAATCTCAATCACCTGTGCCCAATCAGGATAAATCGCAACCACGCAGGCACTACTTTGCTGTTTCTGATTGGTCCGTAAAAGTCGCCTATTAGTAATTCATGGTCATCTGAATTCTTGCTGCTAGCACTCCATAAGAACAATCAAAACAATGATCCTTTCTTGACAGTTTGTTGTTCTGAGAATGTATGTTATTTTGGAAAACGTCAAAACGTGATACTAGTAAATGTAGACAGTGTGGTCCTTGTCATTACTTTTGTTATAGATCTATTACTATTCCACGGAGATTGTTACAATATTACGATTTGTCATTAATCTATTAGTATTGGGTGTTAGCACCAAAATATGATGTTTTGTTACTGTTAGCACCAAAATATGATGTTTTGTTACTAAAATATCTATTTCTGTGTTCAGCGGATAATTATGTTCTGCTCTATGGGTCTATGTTCTATATTTATGTCATAAGTTTTGTGTGACCTGCCTCATTCCTGCCAAAACTGTCTAATTTGTGCGATATGGTTTTACGAGAATGACATTCAGAATGTCAAATGTCAGATTTTCAGGATCTATTACCTTTTGATACAAATCTGTTACTATAGTCCAAGAAAATCTATTACGAAAAAATCCGACCCAGGAACAACACTGAATGTAAAGTTTTGTTTCTGACAATTTGCTTGGAATGTGACGATGCATTTCTCAAACATTGAGCTGAATGATATGGTTCTTATGTCGGGTCGTTATTGTGCGGGGCCCATGAGACTCCTCGAAGACCACGAAATTGTAGCGATGCAAGGAGGTGGAAGGAAGGGTCTAAAGGATTTTTCAGTAAAATAACTTCCAACCGTGAGGTGTTAAGTTATACGCTATTCGAGCTTATGAGTAGAAATCTTGGGTGAGTCCATTTTGAAGTTTTTGTATTATCTTTCTGAAATTCAAGACCAGGGTTAACTTCTTCCCCATGTACATTTTCTCGATTATACATTTTATTTAATATCTCCTAATTTTCATGTAGAGTGGCAACGTCGCTTCGTTCATCACGGTCGACTGCGGATCGCAAACGATAGTTGTGACAGAAGTAGAAATCTGGGCGGAAAAAGGGTATTTTGCCCCAAATCTATTTTGATCCTAATAATATTTTTAATAGTGCTATTCGATAGTATACCTCGAGCTTTCTTAGTGTTTAAAATATATGCACTTATTTCAAAATCAGCCTGTATAAGAATGAGATGAAGACCATACAATAATTGTATAATCATTGTATAATTATAATATTCTTCATTAATTCACCAGAACAAGAATAGAAGTTGGAGAAATCGGCTGGGTGTTATATTTTATACACATGAAATTCAACATCCTGTGTCTCAGAACTGATATATTTTCAGTTAATTCATCAGAAAAAAATACTAGTATTTCTTGTATATATCCAAAAAAACTCACAGATATAGCCCATTGGCACGTTTTTGGAACAAATAAAAAGATTTGACAAGATATTCCATTGAGATATTAACAGAATGTGACGAAAGAGTAACCAAAATCGAAATGAAATATCATTTCTTCATTTTCAACACCCTGTATTTCAGAAACGCAGCGATTTGGGATGAATTATATTGTGTTTGAAAACATTTCGATGGAATATTACAAAAAACTACCTCCTGATGAAATTATGTACTGAGATATCACCCTGTATAGTTTATCTATATTATTTCTTTTCCATTTTAAT